GTTTTATTATAGCTTTAAAGAAATGTGAATTTTATGTTGACATCTATTTGGGAAGCATCTTCACAGAAACAGAGAGAGATTTTTTGATCTTTTAGATCTTAGAGAAGGTCAATGTATCTGACCTTTCACAGAAAGTCTTACAGACTTTGATATTTTCTTTTTATAAAAACCAACACTTTTTTCAACATCAATTTAAAATAGCCTTTATTATGGTTCAGTCAAGAGAACTTTTCTCGTGTTTAAACACATGTGAGCCTTAACTTGCTGACACAAATGTTACAAACCGATTGAAATGCGGGGCTGTTTCTTTATTCCAGGATGAAGTGGAGGAGCTGCGAGCCGAGATGGAGGAGGTTCGGGACAGTTACCTGGAGGAGGAGGTGTACCAGGTGCAGGAGCTGCGGAGGGAACTGGACCGAGCCAACAAGAGCTGCCGCATCCTGCAGTACCGGCTGAGGAAGGCTGAGCAGAAGAGCCTGCGGGTGGCTCAGACGGGCCAGGTGGACGGAGATCTGCTGCGCAGCCTGGAGCAGGACCTGAAGGTGCTTTTTCTGTGACTCCCTATCCTTATGCAGGACATAACTTTACTGAGTTTAACAGCCAAGTAGAGGTACTTTCGCATTATCCTCAGGTGTATATAACAGGAAAAAAAATAAACAATGATTTTCCATAAGTTCGAAAATTACATTAGATCTACAACGCTAAGGTGTTCACGCATCTGAACTTTCCAACATTTTGTAACATTACAACCAGACATCTTGCTAGGTGTTATTTGGATCTCATTTGTTAAAAAAGAAAACAAAAGATGCATAACATTGAAACCAAAGCACATTTATCTATATTTCATATTTTTTCTCAAATTTAAAATTTTTTCTAAATTTTTGAAACAACAAATCTGAAAAGTGGGGCTTGTAATTGTATAGTCTGTTTATATGAAGAGTGTCTGTAAATAGTATTTTTTAATTTCCGCCACAGATTCTATTTGGATTCAGACGTGGCCTTTGACTAAGCCGTTCTGACACATGAATACTCTTCAATTTAAAGCATTTTATTTTTTCTCCGGCAGAAGAATATTTTTTGGAATATTCTGACTTGACTGTCAACTAAACTGGCCTGCACAGTATGATGCTGCCACCACTGTGTCTCACTGAGGCTCTAATGTGTTCAGTCTTACTTGCAATGTTAAACTTCTTATAGCTTTTCTCCGCACAATGTTTTGTCTTTTCACTTTTCTAAAGAGATCAGATCAGTGCACTACATGGATAATAGTTTCCCTGTCTGCTCAGTTCATTGGTCTTCACGAAACTTTTTTATTTTCTAATGTTCTCTACCAAACGTCTAGAGTTATCATGTTTGACAAGCTTTTATTTTTCCGGCTTCCGAGTAAAGTGGATAGAAATGAATCACATTTTTAAGATTTTTACTTCCTGAGCAAAACTTCCTGAGCATCCTTAACCAAAGAACTGCATTTAATATATCTAAATATTGCCTTTATTTCTGTTGAAAAAGAAGAAGATTCCATTTAGATCACTGTGCTTCAGCTTTGTCAATCAAACCGTCCCTAGGTTGCAAAGGACGTGTCAGTGCGTCTGCACAATGAGCTGGAGAGCACAGAGGACAAGCGCAGTCGAGCGGAGGACGAGAACGAGATGCTTAGACAGAAGATCATCGAGGTGGAGATCTCCAAACAGGCGCTGCACAACGAGCTGGAGAGGATCAAAGAGGTGAGATGGCTGGCTATTCAAGGCTGTTTGGTCATAAACAGAGAAACTTCTGCTGGATTTCTTTCTTTTAATTCATTCTTTATCTACCATTTAACATTTGGCACGAAGAACAAACAAACACACAGGGAAAGAGGAGAGATTGGGAGAAATACTAACATCTGTGTATCATAGAACGAAGCATTCGGCATCAGTGTTCTCGTGCATTGCGAGTTCACATGTCTATGTGCAGGGCTGCCTGTAATCAGTCACTCAGCCCATGGTTCAGTCCTTCACCGGATTCCTAAAAAAATACCTAAATAGTCTAATTATTAAATAGTCTAATAAAAACAAACATGTCAATAGGAACTATTTACAGTTAAGCTGCAATAAAAGAAACATTATACACAGACTATAGGGAATGAGTAGACTTCTGCTCTAGTTGGGGTTATCGATTTGGTCCATTTGTTCCAAATTCTTCCTCAGAATATAAGATACTTTTTCATTTTGTAAACTTCCTGCTAGTCTTAAATTATAGCTACTTCTGCGTTAAGCCATCTCCCTGATAGCTTTCATGCTTGGAGCTTGAAGAATTTGTAAAGTTTAATATCTGCCTTGTGCTTTTAAACATTTACTTGACCCAGATACTGTAAGGGAAAGTTACATGTAGGTGGTAGTCTTCAAGCAAACACAGAGTTTAATGTCTTAAGGGCACCATGTCAATACAGGCTCAGTTCAGGGCACACCCAGGTTATATGGTAATGATTAGCTTATTTTGCTTCAGTGCTTTGCTCTTGTATTCTCACTCCATTAGATGCTCCAGTTAGACCTTGTTGCAAAGTCGGCTTCCTTCTTCTTTATTTAGTGCTTAGATTTTAAGTTAGCTTTTATGCACTTATCATTGTTTGATTGTTTTGATCCATATCTTAGTGTTAACACAAATACATTTAATGGCAATGGCAGTTTGACTTGCATTAAAAAGGATCTCGCTTTGTTGTTTGCAGTAATATAATCTGTGTTGACTCCACAGCTTTTAGTAGCAAAATATTCATAGGGTGTAAATGAATTGGTCTTCAAATAATCTGCTGTTGTTTTGAGAGTACAACCTTACACTCACCGGCCACTTTATTAGGTACCCCATGCTAGTAACGGGTTGGACCCCCTTTTGCCTTCAGAACTGCCTCAATTCTTCGTGGCATAGATTCAACAAGGTGCTGGAAGCATTCCTCAGGGAGTTTGGTCCATATTGACATGATGGCATCACACAGTTGCCGCAGATTTGTCGGCTGCACATCCATGATGCGAATCTCCCGTTCCACCACATCCCAAAGATGCTCTATTGGATTGAGATCTGGTGACTGTGGAGGCCATTTGAGTACAGTGAACTCATTGTCATGTTCAAGAAACCAGTCTGAGATGATTCCAGCTTTATGACATGGCGCATTATCCTGCTGAAAGTAGCCATCAGAAGTTGGGTACATTGTGGTCATAAAGGGATGGACATGGTCAGCAACAATACTCAGGTAGGCTGTGGCGTTGCAATGATGCTCAATTGGTACCAAGGGGCCCAAAGAGTGCCAAGAAAATATTCCCCACACCATGACACCACCACCACCAGCCTGAACCGTTGATACAAGGCAGGATGGATCCATGCTTTCATGTTGTAGACGCCAAATTCTGACCCTACCATCCGAATGTCGCAGCAGAAATCGAGACCGATCAGACCAGGCAACGTTTTTCCAATCTTCTATTGTCCAATTTCGATGAGCTTGTGCAAATTGTAGCCTCAGTTTCCTGTTCTTAGCTGAAAGGAGTGGCACCCGGTGTGGTCTTCTGCTGCTGTAGCCCATCTGCCTCAAAGTTCGACGTACTGTGCGTTCAGAGATGCTCTTCTGCCCACCTTGGTTGTAACGGGTGGTTATTTGAGTCACTGTTGCCCTTCTATCAGCTCGAACCAGTCTGGCCATTCTCCTCTGACCTCTGGCAACAACAAGGCATTTCCGCCCACAGAACTGCCGCTCACTGGATGTTTTTTCTTTTTCGGACCATTCTCTGTAAACCCTAGAGATGGTTGTGCGTGAAAATCCCAGTAGATCAGCAGTTTCTGAAATACTCAGACCAGCCCTTCTGGCACCAACAATCATGCCACGTTCAAAGTCACTCAAATCACCTTTCTTCCCCATACTGATGCTCGGTTTGAACTGCAGGAGATTGTCTTGACCATGTCTACATGCCTAAATGCACTGAGTTGCCGCCATGTGATTGGCTGCTTAGAAATTAAGTGTTAAAGAGCAGTTGGACAGGTGTACCTAATAAAGTGGCCAGTGAGTGTATATGTCTGCTGTATCCAGGCTACTCATGCCATACTTCCTCTAGCTTTAAATCTCTTGATTTTTTTTCTACTTTGGTTTGTTTGTGAAACTCTTGTGTAGAAAATTGCTGATGATTTTTGAATGTTATAAATAGTCAGATTGATTCCAGACTTCCTAAAGTCTCTCTGGCTCTGCTCTCGACTCGCATATCTCAGTATCTCCAAAAAGGTTTGAGCATTTTCTTTCAATCAACATGTTTTTATAAATCTTATCAAAGCTACATGGTTTAATCCAGTCAAAGCAAAATCCGGTGTATGTCAGTTTTTTTTTTTAAACACTTTTCAGCTGAGGCTTTTGAGGTTTCACTCTTCTTCTAAACAGGGCATATTACCTCTGAAAATACTTAATAGTTCCAATAATTTCAAAATTTTACTAAAATTTCAATGTTTACCAAATGTCTCTTGGGGAGATGACAATCCAAACTCTTAGCCGCTGACCTCTGAGTTTCGCTGCCCTTCAAAGGGCCAGAAGTTCATAGACATGTCCTTCAAATGTTAAAGCTATGAATTTAGACACACTTTGCCTCTGTTCTGGTTTAAAGTAGAAGCACATAAACCATCTGCATGTGTTCAGGTATGCTGTATTTGTTCAGTATACCGCAGATATTTTGGGTATAAAATATTCCTTCTCTGTGATGCTAAAGCACATGGACAGTGATAGAGACATAGTGTTGATGGAGCTGAAATAAAAAAGTGGATTTCAAAGGACAAAAGTTGGTTCTCTTTAATCGACATATGAATATTCAGCAGTAGCAGCTTGCAGTCCTGCTTAGTTCCTTCGCTGTCAAGAGAAGGAAGTTTTTACTTTGACGATTTTGAAGTAAAGTCTTATCGATAACAAGATGAGCAGAGTTTATTCTCAAAGACGCTCAGGTTGGCCCGCTAACGCTTATCGCTTTTGACAGGAGCAGGTAAGTCACCGTCTGCCAGCCCAGAGAAAGTAGGCCAATCCCAGACAGGCGGCTCACTGAGGAGTTTGGTGATTCCCTTTATCTGCCTGCTTTGGTTGTTGGATTCTAATCTTTCCTTCTGTTAAAGGAAGGATGTAAAAAAATAAAAAATCAGTTTCATTTATTGTTTTGCAACCAATGCTTTCATTTAGTGTGTGTCTCTTTCGGTAAGTTTGTGTCTCACATTATTTGTTCCTGGTGGTGGTAAAACTAGGCATACATGCATGAGCAGAATACGACACTCAGGCCGCCTTGTTGAAAGAAAGAGGAGGAGATGAGCTGAAGAGCTGCAGCTCCAAATGACTGCAGATTTATATTTTTCTGGTCTTCCCCCGAGGTTCGTCCCAGAAAAACATGCTCCATTTCTCAGTGTTTTTTTGGTTGTTTTTTTTTTTTTATTTGATGCAACACCCCCACCATATCTTTAAATAACAGCCCCTCATTTCTTCAAACATTCCACTTCATAACAACCCTCATGGTGTGAGCCTGTTCAGATAGTCAGGCACAGAGAGTGATATTTTTTCTGGGGTTGTTTGAGACTAAAGCAACCTGATTGGGAATCGGATATTATAATCCAAGCTTTGACTCTGCTGTTTGACTCAGTCTAAGATTGTTATCATCGGCATAGCTGTAGAGTCTGGCTCTACCAATGAGAATGTAATCTGACTGGAATGAGAGGATGCTCCTTTCTGCTTTAACCACACCTTGTAAATCATGACTGAGGTGTAATGTGCAGAAAAATGAAAGCACAAAATCCCCGTCAGAGAGCTCATTAAGAACTAAACTAAACCAAATATCTTCATAAGGTATTTAAAAACCCTAATTATCATTTTTCTCCTTGTATGATGTTGAATCAGATTTATTTCCTTGTTTTATATATTATTTTGAATTTCATAATTATCTCCACATTGCAAAAAGTTGAAATCTAAGTAATTGCATTTTTTTTTCTTGAATTGAGCTGGTAAGTGAGACACTTTGCCTATGGAATATCACAATTTACATTTAAAATAAGAAAAAAGTAACTGCAGTCTCTTAGTTTAAGTGCATAATATCTAATTATGTTATTTTAAGGGTAAAATACCAAATCCATCGGAAGATCATTTTATTTACTTCAATTCGGGATGAATATTTAACTTTAAATACATTTTTACTCATTTTAGATAATTTTTGCAGTAGGATAGCTCAATGCAAGGTTGATGAGAAATAACTTTTTTCTTTAAAAATTTCCAATTTAAAGTTTTGGTTTAACTGACATTATTATATTTAAATCAGTTGATGTCAGCTATGGATGCATTTTAATGTAATACGTAAAGGCAACCCTTTAGTGTAACATTAGGGTAAAACCAAAATAAATAAATCACAGTATTTAGAACAATCTGGTCTGGTTTCCCAGATGGTGAACCTGGTGAACCAAGCTGGTTGACCTTGCAAATCAGAGATTTTACTTTGTACTTTCCTGAAGCAGGTATCTTTTTCTTTACAGTCATATCTCTGGAAGAAAAGCGGCAGAGAATCGTGTGCAGTTTGACCAGCCCCATGCTTTTTCAATGATCAAAGTTCCACCAGCTCATATAATTCGTTTTTCTGTCGGTTCACATTAAACGGTGTCTCTTGTGTTCCGGCCTTGAAGAAAAACCATACCCTTCAAAAAGGTGGCTAGTTCTGTGTCTCAGAGATGAACATGTTTTGCTATGAAAACCATG